TGAATCTCGCACGGAACAAGTATTTGTATGGCCTACAAATAATTGTTCCGGGTCTGGATGTTTGTCCTTGTGCAATCTGTGTTTGTAAACTGTCTCCACGATACAGGAGAAAATCCTAGTGTGGGGGTAACGTTTTTTTTAATAAAAAAATATATAAAATATTATAAAATCTAAACAGCATGTACAAATAATGTTATAAAAAATTATAAAATATAAATAAAAGCTACTAAGAAAGTATGTACTTACCAATAATGGAAACGAACTGAAGCCAGCGGATTACGGTGTGCCCGGAAAAATACGTGGGTTGCCGTCAGTTAAAAATTTTAACTTAAGATTTCACATTCACGATCAGCTTTTGGATGTAGGTCAGTTCAACTGAGCAGTTTAACTGACCGTGTGTGGCCACCATTACTCGTATTCTCTCGCTTACTTCGACGGCACACGAAACTAAAGCCGGCCGGCGCGTAAGCGAGACGAGCGATTTATGAATGGATCGAATTGGAGTCAATCTTCTATTACACGTAACTACTTTAATAAACGAGTAACTAATCCTTTTTTTGAGATATTTTTTTAATTAATTATTTTAAGTTTTTTCTACCTAAATGTGATCAATAACAGATACTGAGAGCACTTTTTTTTTGGTAATTACAAAATATGGGTGTAGAATAAGGGTGACAAGCGAGCACATAGTTCACCTAATGATAATTGGATGCTGTAGCCCATAGACATGTAACATTATTAGTCTATCCTAGTTTAAAAATCAAAATGCAGATGCACTGTCATCTCCGAGGACCAAGAATGCCTAGTTTCCAGTTTAAAGGGTCTCCGGTTCTATATAATATTAGTATTAAGCTGCTATTTTATGCTGGTATTCTGTGAGAGCGTGGTCCTTCCCCGGTCGAGCAGACCCATTCGTACTACACCCATAATATAGCTGCAGCATGGCTCTACCATGTACAAAAAATTAGGTAAGCGATAGTCAACGATTAAAAGAATATATATATATATATTATACCGATTTAATAACAAATAAGAATTTCAATTTCAATTTGTAACGCTGCGTCAAACTGTTGACCTCAGTCACACGGTCACCAAAAATTTAGTCAGAGGAATTGAAATAAAAGCAAATATATACAGGTCTACAATAATAATTTATTTATATCACATAATATATACCTCCATTTAAATATTGACAGCTGTCATGGCAGTGTATAAGTCATCTGTTGTATAATTAAATTAGGTTAATTGAACTAAAATATTTTACATTAATTTTAGAATCGGAGTCACCTTGAACGAGTATCGGCTTATGAATATAAACATGATGCTAGAAAGCGCTGGTTTAAGATTTTGTTTGGGAAATTTAAAGATTTATTTTATTTATGGAAATATGCGAACGAAAATGTGAAGTATGGAAATTTACAAAATTCGCGCCGCTTTAGGACTTATTTTGTGAATTAAATAATGTTTGGGTCATCCTGAATTGTACGATTAAAAAAAATACATTTGAAAGAGAAGCCATTCCAAACAAAAATTGTGTCCTACTCTATGTCATCGCGCATGCGCGGGAGTAGTAGTCGCGCATGCGCGAATACTTTAATTTAATATAAAATAAGATATTAATATAAAATAAATATAAGAATTTAATATAAAATATCTTAATTTAATCTAAACAAACATATTTCTAAATAAAATGTAATAATAATTATTTTATGGAATTCACAAATCTTCAATTTACGCAATATTTAGTTTGTATGGATTGCACTACAGTTCAGTTGAACATAGTCAATGTTCGGAATGGCTTCTCTAGTACGTAGTACATATAACTCAATGCATTTGAATTACTTCACGTTTACTATTTTCAGAAGCCCCGATCTTAAAATTAAGTGAGTATTTATATTGAAGTTTATAATATACGTCATTTTTTATTATTTTTGTAATTACTTCTTATTTTATTACTTATATATGTATACAGTATTATTCTATAGTTGTGAGTTCATATGGCATGGCATCTCGAGTGTTTATCATTAATTAATTATACATAAAAATGCATGCTTTCGCACTTATGGAAGTCATTTTACATATTATATTATTAAACAAAATTCACTGGTGACGAACATACTGGACTGCATTGGTATTCAAACTTAAAAAAATATTGAAAACATTATGAAAAAAATAAATGAATAATTAAATAATAAAATGTATAATTCTAATTAATTATTACAATGCATCATTATAACATAGACAAACAATTAATTGTTATTACGAAAGAAATAGGAATTCTAAAATTGGACAGTCTTTAAACGGACACATTAACATTTCATAGACACATTTTTGTATCTAATGAGATCACTATGGTAAAAAACCTACTTATTTCTACTAAATGCTTTATTTACAAAATTTACAAAAATTGTGTTTTGGGCGCAATCGTTTGCCGCGCTTTTGCAGCTGTCACTTTGAAAAACATATTTAAACTATATAATAAATGTTTCTATTATATATTTCACTTAATATATCATAATAAGAAGAATAAATAGTACATATACTTGGTAACTTAGAGAATTAACTATATAATGAAATAGTAAAAGATGCTTAACGTTAACAACCTAACTTTTTGGCAATTTTTTTGTAAATTTCTCAGACCGACAAAGAAACTGATGGAGCGCTGCGCACATTTCAAGTAAGAACACACGCATTCATGTGCACATATACATCTAAAATAATATGCATAAAACACGGTTTTAACTGCACGTGTGCGTCCAGTAGTGACATTTTCCAATGATAAAGAACTTCCGTGGCTGGTCGTCACTGCTGATGATAAGAGGGCTGGTTCTTTTCTAGTTCAAAGGATAAGCATAGCCATTCAGCGAGGAAACTTAGAGCGCTTTTTTGGCACGATACCACGGACAGTTGGACTGTATGGTAATTTAAGTAGTTAGTTAGTTTTTATTTATTATAGTAATTAAATATTGTATATTATCTTCTCTATAATAATCAATTGCTGTCCGTTAGTCTCGCTAAAACTCAAAAAGACGCGCAACCGATTTTGATTGAATTTTTTGTGTCTGTTTAAGTGGGTCCCCGGATGGTTTAAAAACTTTATTGGACTCGGTAGGTGGCGCTGTTGTCGAGATCCAGAAATCACCCATGCAAAGTCGGGACAAATCACTAGTATTTGATAAAAGCCATTCTTTATAAAGATATGTGCGTGAGTATGTGTCAAGACATTGAGAATGGTTTTTGTGTCAGTTGAAATGTACGCAGCGCTCCGTATATCTTTCTTTTTGATCTGAGATAAATCCCTGTCTAATTATTGTAAAATGGTATATATAAATCATTAAAATGAGCATTTTCTTTAAATTTTGTATAAAAAATTGTTTACAAACATTGCTAAATATAATTTTTCTAGTGTGATGAACTCATGTTATTGTATATGTGACATAATTATAAATATAAAATAAATTATGGAAGTCCATACTCTATTACATTTATTTATTAATATAATTAAATTACCATAATCCTCACAATATTATTCATAAATTAAAATAGTGTTCCAAAAAATGCGGTTTCGTAGTCTCGACTCTTGCCTATAATGACGTCATTCGAAGAAAGGTTGTGACCAAAGAGTATATAATCACGTTTTATGTGTAACTTCCATTTTGGATGAAATAGATAAAACAGTGTAGTATAGCGAAAAATGCATTCTCTATGTAGTGTATTTATTATTTAAGAGTTCGGTGACAATTTGCCTGTTGTTCTTACGTATTCTAATACAACAATTATGATTTTATTCTGTAACTTCATTGTTTATTCAAAAAGATAAAGTTTTCAAAGTATGACGGCAATACGTTGTTACGATTTGCAAATTCAGGCAGGCAAAGGTATTAGACCATACAGCTTAATCTGATGGGTATTTTATTCACAAAATTCTTCACAATATGCCGATGCGCCAAATTGCGAAGTGTTTGGGAGATTTTGACGACAGCTTAATCTATCGGACAGCTGATGACGATAATATTTCAAGCCGCCAGCGGATAAAAAACTTGAGATTAATCGAAGTACTTGTAACATTGTTTCCATTACTAATTAACATGAGCAAACATTTAATACAAAAAATCGCACCATTTTTACGTATCAAAATCCACTTTAAGACATTATATAAATGATAATACAGGAGCAATAATCCGAAATCGGTAAAGTTCCCGCCAAAACCTCCTGATAGCAGTATTTTTATGTACATTTTTTAAATTAAATAATATTCATAATATTATAAAATGGAAAGACAGCACATGGAAGGAATGTTACAAAAGAATATTTATAAAATATACAAATGTGGTTAAAATGCTTTAAAGCCTTCTTCGAAGAATTGACGTATACCAACGCCACCACTATGATCGTGAAAAATACGCGGGAACGTCAGATTCATAAGTTTACATTTTTAATGTCAAATGTGGAACAAAATGGTACAGATTACAAATAATTTTACTCGACTTATATGTATAAAACACATGGGAAATCTCTAAGAAAATCTCTACTTTTGCATATTTTAAATTGATTAAATAAGTAAAAGACGTCCAGGAAAAATATAATTGTGAATTTTTTTATCATACAAAACGGAATAGCATTATTTACTTAAATATTATTAAATATCTTAGACCAAAAAAGATAGAAAGACGGAGCGCGGCGCAGATATATCAAGTGACGCAAATACCAAGTCCAAAACCATGATCAATCTATTGTAAGAAGGTACTCACGCACGCAAATGCATTTAAAATCATTTGCAACTAACATGGTTTTAGGTGCATATGTGTGCGTAAATGCGCCAAGAAGTCGAACATTGTTTCGGCATCACTAGAAATGTACGCAGCGCTCCCTCTATCTCTTTGTTAGTCTGTGTAAAATATTTATACTAAAATAATTGTACGTACAAAGCAGCTAACAGCTTCGACTAGCTACGCGATGTTTTTAATATTTGCCACATTAAAGCTCAGTTAAACTACCCACTAAGATCCCTGTCTTACCGACGAGTCGTCATCAGCGAAACTTGCTCTGTTTCGCCTCTCACAGCGTTTCTGATGCTGGCGGATGAAAGCACTCAGTCGGTTCAACAAGAACTGTTTATCGTGGCCCTCTAAGACCAACTGGTTCCTCAGCACGGCCACCATATGCCGGTTAGCTGTGGCCACAGCCCAATAGTAATACAAAAAGAACAATGCTATTGCGAAAGCCGGCACTGCGAACGTAGACGTTCCCATCAAGAAGACAACCTCCCGAACCACGGGTGGGAATAAATTGAAGGTAGTTATAACGAAGTACCAAACTGTCCCGTAGGACTTGTAAGGGCCACAGTTGAGCGAAGGAGACATCTCCGCGATGGAATACGCCACTGGAGCTATAGACATAACAAACCCGACTAGCAATACCGACATGAATAGAGATTTGGATTTCGACGCTCTGTACACGATTGGTGACGGAGTGCAATTGATTAAGCAGTTGAACTTCTTTATATAGAATAGAAAGAAGTAGAAGATGGTTCCAATGATAGGTAGGAAGGGACAGAAGAAGGCGCCCATCCAGATTATCGTCTGTATGTAAACTATATCGAGCACGTGTTTCGGGAGGTAGAAATTCTGCGTGCCGATAGTTTTTAGACAGCGGCTGTTAGAATGGCGGCCGAGGAACGCCCTCGGGAAGTTTAAAAAGAACGTCATGATGAACTGTACGGCAAAGTCCGTTAGGATCAACTTGTAGAACTGTTGGCCAACGAAAGTCTCCCAGCATTCCAATCTGACCGCATGATCTCCGGAATCGAGGAGGCCGCTCGTTTGCATGTACACCTGACTAAGCAGCACCACGAAAGACGCTAGCCTAAGCAAAACAGTCCTCAGCAAAGTTATCAGGATCACGTGCCTAGGTTTATAGCTCTCGTAGGTTATTAAATAACCGAATATCTCCGGTACGAAGAGATTCAGCACAACTATACAGACGTAAGGTAGAAATTGTAAGAGCGTGCTTCGTATTTGGTTATCCGTATTGTCATCTTTGTAAGAGACCAGGGTGTCTGCGAACGAGTCGTTTGGCCGCAACGTGGGCAAGTTCTCGGTATATTCGTATAGAGACGACGTTGAGAAATTAAACGTCATGTATATGACTACACCGGATACGACCAGTATTACCAACACGAAAATGTTTATCACCACCCGCCGTAGATGCAGGAGTATAGTGCCTTCTCTCGTTCTGGACTGCTTCTCTTCTTTGTACCTTTCCTCTTGCAAGCAGCCCTTGATTTCGTTGAAGAGGGCTTTGTGCTTTATTTTCGCCGACTTCGCATTGTGAACGCAGAAGTCCCAGCCTCCGAACACGAGGTTGCAATACAGATAGAACTGACCCTCGTTCTCCACCAGTCTCTCTTTGAAACCCTTCGCACCGGTTTTCACAATCGCGACTAGCGAGAGAAGGGCCCAAGCGATCGGAACCAAAATATAGGCTAAAGGCATGTTGTACACCATTTCCGCCCCCCACAAATTAGGCAGACTGTACTCGAAGATTTTATCGCTGTAAACGCCATAAAATAGCAAAGTCCCTTCCATCCAACCTGTACCTTGGATCAGGTCGAGGACCACGTTGTTCGAGGTAACATTTCCGGATCGCTCTGGACAGCAGAGAGTGGAATTGTAGTCTAGACTTTCGCAGTCTTCACAGTTCTCCTTGAGCAACGTATTCGGTAGAATTAGGAACAGTACGATGAACATCGAAATGGCAATGTTTAGGAACAGTAGCCAACGCAGGAAGAGGAAGTAGCAGACCACGCCCGTCCCGAACTTCCCCTCGATCACCCTCATTGGCGATTGCCAGAGCTCCAACTTGCCCAACACCTCGGCGAGCCTCGTTCGAAACCTGTGCCATACCTTCCTTTGGCGCCATTGCAACTGTTCGAATCCTTGCAAACGCAGCTTCGTTGCATTCTAGAAGAAAATTATTCCATAGTCAAAATACAATTATCGTCACAGCCTATCTAAGTCCTATAGGCCGCCACATTGCTTAATAGGGTGGATATTTGCCATATTTGCCATATTTACCACGCTTAGCAGGCAGTTTTTCAAGCGCAGTTTTTTTTAAATTATATTTTGCCACGAAACACGATCCTAAAGTATGTTCCTCTTTTAAATTGGCTTATTGTTTTCTTTTATAAAACTGATGTGACAAACTAACTTATAGACCATCTTATTGTAAGCAGCTGCTGCAATCCATGGACATCTGCAGCCAACTTCAAACAAAGAACGGCTCTGACGGCTCCGTGGCGCAGTGGCTTAGCAATGAGTTGCTGCGTTGGGGGCCGCGGGTTCGAATCCCGCACGGAGCAAGTATCTGTATGACCTATAAATAATTGATCCGGGTCTGGATGTTTGTCCTTGTGCAATTTGTGTATGTAAACTGCCTCCACGATTCAGGAGAAAATCCTAGTGTGGAGATAACGTTTTTTTTTTTAAAAAAAAAAGAAGGTCACTGATGCGAAGTCACCTCTGAGGACTAAGATGGAATGTCTGTAAGTATATTGGCTTTCTATACAGTTAGACCAGAACACTACACTATACTACAAGCGGTGTTGGGAGTAATGGTGCTGGGATCAGTGGTGACGGAGGTAGTGCACGCAATTGAGGGAGGGCGAGAGATGCTTTTCAAACTAGGTAAGACGTCATTTTATTATATTATGTACTTTTGAATGATTATTAAATGATTGTAACCGAATCAAGACAACTAAAAATGAAACAACACTTCGTCGTTGGTATTTAGTTAAATCAGTCCATCGAGTCAGTAATTCATTTTTGGGTCGATGTATACGCTTTTACAACAAAATTCCAGAAAATATACAAAATTTGACCTGCTCAAAGTTCAAAAACTTTATTAAACTAAGTTTGTATAAAAAGGGTTATTATAATATTAAAGAATTTATGGATGATAATAACCCCTGGAAATGAGGTGATCGCTACCAAGCTATTTCTAATGTGTTGTGTTGTTAATTTGTGTAACATACATGATTGTAAGCTGTTATTTAAAAAAAAAAGTCCCGCTGGGTTTCTTGCTGGTTCTTCCCAGGACAGAGGTTTTTTTTTCCGAACCAGTGGTAATTAAACAAAAGAGTGACTTTCAATAAGTATTATTTATAATCTATATTGAATAAAAATAGTTTCTGTTTTTGTTTCAGTTTTTGGATTTATAATTGGTGTTTTAGTACACTTTCGGTACTGCAGAACGGCTCGTAAGGGAAAACGAAACGTTTTATAGCTATAGAAACCAGGCATAAATTATGCAAAGCAAAATAAAATGTACCTGTAGTCGTGCCTTTAACTCTCTTTTTTGAGCCATGGGGACCGGCATCGCCTTGATCTGCATGATCTCCTCCCAGCTCCGTTCTTCGTTCGACAAGTTCTCTATAATTAAATATAAATTAAGTTATTGGGTTGACAACAGATACACTTATCGGTGGCGGCTTTATTTGCTAACTTTGGGAATCGAATACAAGTCCCAAGATATACTCTGATGTCTAATACACGTAGCGAAAATTGTTAATATCTTTATATCTGTATATAATTCTTCTGTCCGTGTGGATGTGACTGAACTCCTCCTAAACATCTGGGCCGATTTTGATAAAATTTTGTGTGTGTGATTAAGTTGATTCAAGAATGGTTTAGATTCACAATTGGACCCGGTAGGTGGTGCTGTTGTAGAAATCACCCGTGCGAAGCCGGGGCAGAGCACTAGTTTTTTATATAACTTGACGTCAAAAATCACATCCTATCACTGCAATAATCACTTGTCATCATCAGCGACATACAGGGTTATTTTGCAATAACCGGCCAAAATTGCAGCGGAGGTTCAGAATAAGTAATAATATAGGCAATTTGGTGAAGAAAAATTAAATTAAAAAATCTGAAACATGGTGTCTTTTTAAATTCAAAATGTGATAATGCATTATTTTAACTGATTTTACACAATCGTAAGCGTCGATCGCTAGGCAAAATCGTTGTTGCCCATAAATCACATTCAATTTGGGATAATTTCAAATAAAAGTACTCGTAGAAGCCTTATTTACTCGTATTTTCGAAAACTGCAATAACGGTATATCATTATTTATATAGTTGTACTTAAATTTTAAATTTGGCTAATCTCTTAAAAATAACTCTGAATAGATTTTTGTATTATGTATGTCTATCATACTCTTCAATAATTTCGAGCGTAGTGCTCCCAACAACTACCGGCATAGGTGTGACATAGATGTTACACATGATCTTTGTTCTGTTCTATCCGTTGGAAGCTTGGAATGCACTATTGAGGTCATAGAGCATAGTGCTTAGGTGGGTGTAGTGGCAATGGGCCGGCCATATAGCTTCAAGAACCGACAACCGACGGGGAAGAAAGGAGTATATCGATGTTGATTTTTGTTGCTAACATTGAGAACGAAATCACTATAGATTAAAGACGTCATGTCTCGTGAAATAATGTCACACGTAATAGTACTAAGTACTAAGTAGGACGGCCCCCTCGTGGGGTCAGGAAGGCTAGTGCTTCTAAGTGACCCCATGGCCTTCGCGCATTGGGCACGGGGGCGTCTGTGGCGCAGTTTAAGTTGAAGGCCGCGAAGGAAGGCGCGCCATGTGTTCTGGTATGCCTTACCTGAATACGATATGGGGGAGGAGCACTCCTCTTTCGAGGAGGGGCAGCCATGGGGCGGCCAGCGCTGGTGGACCGCGGATGTGTGCGAAAGCTTTCCCGTGGCCCTGCCAATATGCGGCGAAGGTGGAGCACCATGGAATTTTAGCCGGTGCGAGTCAGACATAACCCGTCCGTGCCCTTGCGAGGCGGGTATGCGTAGGAATTTCCCCCCACTAGATGGAGTGACGACCTGGTAAAACATGCAGGAAGTCGACGGATGCAGGTGGCTCAGGGCCGTGCTTTGTGGTATTCCTTGGGGTAGGTCTATTGTTCAACAGTGGACTTGTGAATGGGTGTAATGATGATGTCTATCATATTTCATTTGTATATATTGGTATATTATTTTGTTAGTATAATAATAACAACTTGTCCCCGTATGGTGGAAGGTTGAAGTTGCTGTAGGTAAGTAATTGGTAGAATTAATTTTATATATTTTTACCAGCGATTTTTTGCCAGTTCATGTCCGTTAAATTTATCTCTCTTTATAACATATAGTCTGAGAGCTGGCAACGAATTTTGGGAAGGCCCTTTTGGCAAGTTGAAATTGTGAAAAAATATAATTTCGTCAAACGGCGAATTAAGTCTCGCGAGTCTGGCAAAGAGTTTGCGGTTATTTCGTTACTGCGCAGCATATAACATTCGCCAAAAAACACTTTTTTTGGCAACTTGATTTCATTTCACGTTTTTTTATTTAATGTTCATATAATTAAAAAAAATAACTCCAGACGTTTTTGTCAGTTATAAAGTATTACCAGATCTCTCCAAAAATATTTTATTAATATTATCAAAAAACATACTTTTGACAATCTCAAATTTTAATTACGTATTTATTGAGTAGATAATTTTTATGCCCAAGCTCCTCGCGCTGTGATTAGTTATTGAAAAACGAGTGTTTTCAGTATCGTTCCGATTCTGCGTTCACAACAGACTATTTTGTGTGAGAGCAACCTTAGAAAGAAAAATTATTTAGTGTTTCCTTTTTTAAAAATTTTAAAATTAAATTCTTGTTTTGGGATTTAGCATGTGTGTATGCGCATATATGACCATGTAAATATCTGTGTAAATAGTTTAAATTGTTTTAGATCAGTGCTGTAATAATTTGTATAACCTCTGACCACAGAGGCAATCTATGGGGGAGGCATATGTCCTGCGGTGGACATTGATAGGCTGTATGAATAACTGTGATAATGTTTACTGTGTAAAAGTCCCTGGGCTACCATGAGCGAGCTACCAGGGCATGAGCAACACAAGGTTCGATCTTCGCCGGCGGCAATAAGTGCTGATTTACCACGTGCTCGGCGGTGAAGTAAAACATCCTGAGGTAACCTATATGTCTGAGAAAGAACCATTCTCGAATCAACTTTATCACACACGCACACAAAATTTCATCACAATCAGTTGATTTGATTGTGATGAACAATCAGTCGAGCCGTTTAGGAGGAGTTCACTGACAAACGCAAGGAGAGAAGAATTATAAATATAATAAAAATGTTTGGTCTACTGACTTGAGATAGGCCGTTCTTCACGTACGAAACTGGCAGTATTTTTTGTCGTCTTTGACAAACAAACACATTTAAAAATAAACTTTGGACACAATGGACACGACTACTTTACCAAAAAAAAAAAAAGGTTTTCAAACACGAATACAAGAAAAAACAACTGTCAATTTTTGGCGCGCCATATTCGCGGCAATGGCGCACACAAACAGAAACAGTTCTACGATCCGCACAGTAATTGTAATAATTAATTGTTAATTTTACGTTTAGTGGAGGGAATAGGTGTGGAGTCACGAATGCCCTGAATTTACCTAGTAGTACAATGAAACGAAAAACATGTTGATGAGTGAAAATCTACTAAGGTGACCAATTATTAGTAAAATACTAAAAACGTAATATACCTAGTCAGGTCATAAATTCTGTCACATGTTTAATATAAAATAATTGAAACAAGTTTATTCATTATGTAACCATTTTATACCAAAATGAACTTATCAAAACATAGATTCTTATGACATTAAAGTTTATTCAGAATGACCTCCGTGATTTCGAATATAGGCCTTTAATCTGCGCGGCCAGTCTTCTATCGCAGCACGAACGAGGTTCATGTCAATATCGGAGGCTGCCTTAATCAAGGATGTCTTGAGTGACTCCAAATTGGGATGAGGCTTTGAGCACGCCTTTTCCTCCAAGTGTTGCCATATCTTGTAATCTAACGGATTCAAATCTGGACTGGAGGAGGGCCAGTCTTCGTGCCGGATGAAGTCGATTTCACGCACCGCCAGCCAGTCTTGTGTGCTCTTCGCTCTATGTGCTGGCGCCGAATCTTGTTGGAATACCTAGTGCCTGTTATCGAACATGGTATGAGAAACAGGTTCCACAAGGTTCGTCAGGACTGTATTTTGATACACAGCTGCATTGGTTTTTACACCTTTCTCACAAAAATGTACCTCTGTTAAGCCCCAATAAGAAACTCCCAACCATACCATAAGCGAGGATGGAAAATGACCTCGTTGGACACGCGGAATACGGTTGCTCGCTTCTTCACTACTGTGTGCGTACACCTTATCATTTTGTTTGTTGTAGCTCTCTTCTACGGTAAAAATTTTTTCATCCGAAAAAAGAATTTCTCGATCTTTTTTCCCGCGTACCGCTTCAACAAAGCGCGGCATCTCTTCAGTCTCAGGTCCATTAGACGAGCATTCAAACGATATCCTGTTTTTCTTCGATATGCCCGAAGCCCTAAGTCTTCATTTAACACCCTTTTCACCGTGGTTCTGCTTAACCCCATCTGAAGGGCCAACAGTTTCTGCTTACGTTTGGGATTTCTTTGAATTCGCGCCTTCACAGCTTTTATCACTGCTGGAGTCCTAACAGACCGAGGGCGACCACTTCTTGACCTGTCATCTACACTGGAGTCTTCATTGTATCGTTTGATGGTATGATAAACGAATCTTTTGGTTATATTCAAATTTTTCAGTATGTCAAACATTTGAATTGGCGCGTAACCGCAACGATGCAACGCAATAACTGCAACACGGTCTTCTTTAAGCGTCCACTCCATATTTAAAAATAAGTAAAATTCTAAAAAGTATATAGTTTTATTTTCATGAACAATTCGAAATTCGAATTCAATAAACTTTTTTGTGAAAGAAAAGTTTTTACTGTGTGACAATACTTATGACCTGACTAGGTATAATTGCAGTCATTTCAGATACATTCGCTGACGAAGGTGTTCACATTTGAATTAATTGCCGAATTTTAAGCAAATTGTAGTAAAATATGTATTTTAAATAAATAATAAAATTATGTTTTTTTTTATAGGATAGTTACACAGCCTTTTATTTATGGGATCGAGTGACAAACGAGCACACAGTCCAAATGATGGTAAGTGGTTGCTGTGGCCCATAGACATCTACATCTATCCTCGTTTGTGAATCAAAATGCAGATGCGTTGTCACCCGTGAGGACTAAGATGGAATGCCTCTTTTCCAGTATAAAGGGTCTCCGGTTCTCTACACTCACCATACGAAACACAGCAGTGTTAAGCTGCTATTTTACGCTGGTATTCTGTGAGAGCGTGGTCCTTCCCCGGTCGAGCCGACAAAAGTAAAAAATTACACACATAAAATTTTAGTTGACGTTTTTTTAACTTATACTCAAATTAATAACGACAACAAAGGTATACTGATTTAATTAACTGACAGTTAATATTAAAAAAAAAACTCACCGGATAAATCGGGCAGCATGGATAGATGGATATCCCGACTCTGTGTGTTCCTTGCGAAGGTGGACTGCCGCCTCTCATTTTGCGACCGGCCCCGTTTGACTGTTGTTGCTGTAAAAAATATATATGTTAAATTTATACGCAGGATACAAAGATAGTGTTTAAAAAAAGATGGCCTTATTTTTCTTTAAAGTCAGCAACACCGGCTGTGAAAATCGTTAAGTGTGTGATATCAGCCTCGAAGGATCAAAAGTGATGTTGATAAATGTGGCGAGCGGTGCTTTGATAAAGAAAATTTACCGCGTCGAGTGGTGTAAGTACATTGATTTTTATATTGTATTATCGTAATATTATACCAATCGTCACTGTACATATCTTGTGCAACATGCATGCTAATTTTGCCTCTACTGCGAAAAGGTATGAGGGCGACACTGAAAGTTTTTAGAACTGGTCACTTGTAAACGATATAATAAAAAAATGAGGTCAAATTTTGAAAATGGAACTCTGCGAATATTATTGTGTATGTATTTTATTCATTTGTCATTTGTTTACGATTTGACAGCAAATTGAAAATTGTCTGTGTCACGTCAGCATGAATTTAACGCGAGAAAATTTTCGTACAATGATTTTTTATGACTTTCGATGTCATTTAAGTCAACAAGAAAGTTATGATAGACTTCAATTAGCATTTCACGATGAAGCCCCATCTCGTGCCACTGTTTACAACTGGTTTAATGAGTTTAAACGTAGTCGCACTAATCTCACCGATGATCTGCGTGAGGGACGGCCTTCTACGGCGACGACTGAAGATAACATCAGTGTTGTGCGGCTTATGATAGAGACTAACAAAAGAGTGACTTAGCAGATTCGGACAAGCTTAGGCATCGGTATGAGTCAAGTGCACAAAATCCTCCGTGAACATTTAGCGGTCAGGAAGCTTTGTGCTCGGTGGATACCTCATAATTTGACAAAGGCCCAAAAACTCTCTCATGTTGATTGTTGTCGTGAAATGGTTCAAAGATTTAACGGAGGTGACTCAAACGCTGTATCGCTGATGACAACAAGCGATTATTGCAGTGATAGGAAGTGATTTTAGACGTCAAATTATATAGAAAACTAGCGCTCTGGCCCGGCTTCGCACGCGTTCTACATCTCGACAACAGCATCACCTAGCGGGTCCAATTGTGAATCTAAACCCCTCTTGAATTAACTTAATCGAACAAATAAAATTTCATCAAAATCGGTCCAGCTGTTTAGGAGGAGTTCGGTCACATACACACGGACAGAAGAATTATACTTGTATAGCAACTGCCTCTTGAACGTTATTCATGTTAAGGGTGCGGGCGACTCAAGACGACTGAGCTCTTCGCGAAGTAGCCCACGAGTGTGTAATCACATTCTTCGGACTGCGATCGACTTCGACGAGCGCTTCGTCAAAGTTACTACGCGAGTAGTGTGTAGTGCGGCGGGCGGCTGGCGGCAAGGCACACCAAACGAACCTCGCACGCTATACACGTTGGCGCTCGCGTGCACTGGGCCAGCTAGACGAACGACGACGAGCAATGACGAGGCTAGACAAATGGGCTGTCTATACTTTGGTGCTCGCCTTCGCTCGGCCAACATGTATAGCCGGCTTTAGATAAGGGCCAAGTGTCTAAGAAATAAAACTTAGAAAACGTAATTGAAATCTATCCAGTAGTTTTTCCGTGATGCGCGCACAACTGCAAACCTCTATCATTTTATTTATATAGATGTGAAACACATAACTGTTGCCAAACAGTCGCACAGAGTAGAGATTGTCGCCAAAGAGTACGTAATCATTACTTTTAATTGTCGCCAAAGAATTTTATAATATTGTCAACAAATATTTACTAACACAGGTTAACTGAATGAGCTGTGAATTTTGTGCGAGTTTCTTTTACAATAGTTCGTGGAGTGTATGTCAAGGCAAAAATGCGTTTAATTTATATTTTGTATATTAGATATCTGTTTTATACTCAAATGTACAGTTGAAAGTGAAATGCAGCTTGCCTAATATACAAACAGAAACAAATGGTATTATATAATTAAAAGTTTTGTACAAACGACTTAAATATAAATTATTAAGGATAACTCAAAAACTACTGGTCAGACCTTGATGAAATTTATATGGGACTACAAGAGAAGTACCGGCTTTCAAATAAAAAAAGAATTATCAAAATCTGTTCATCTAGAAAAAAGTTATGATGTAACACACAAAAAAAAAATTAAAAACAATACAGTCGAATTGAGTACCTCCTCCTTTTTGAAGTCTATTAAAGATTATAAGCATTACGGGCGAATTTCGACCCCTGGACGACCCCTAGTATCTCATAGATTCCCCTTACGACAGCCACGTAAGAGGTAGATGAATTCTTTGCTGCCACCACCCGGTACGATATGTACGCATTGGCCATACAACAGTTAGACGAGTAAATTATTATATTGGTTCGCTGGTTTGCGCTACCCGACGGCAGTGACAGAACCACAGTCGGTCTGTCGCATCCGAAGCTGGAAGCTTCAGGAAGCGGATACTAGGGACAAATATCATGCGAGGGTAGCCGAAAAGCTTGACACCATCGATGGCAGAAAAGAATGTGTGGAAAGAACATGGCAGAACCTTAGGGATGGAATGGTAAGTGCAGCAGAAGAAGTGTGTGGAACGATAAAAAGAGGTAGTAGTAAAAGAAGAGATGCATGGTGGAATGATGAAGTGAAAGAAGCTGTAAAGAAGAAGAAGAAAGCATGGTTAGACTACTTGGCCTCTAGTAATGATAAGGATATGAGATAGAAGATGAAAGAAAGATATAAGCTGCAGAAAGTTCATACGAAAACATTGATTGAGGAAGTACGTGAAAGGTGTAGAATGGAAGCGGACCAAAGGTTGTCGCACAACTTTAAGGAGAACTCCAAACTCTTCTGGAAAGAGGTTGGAAGGACCCGAAGTGGTGCGACGGCCTTAAGAATGAACAAAGTGCTTTCGAGAACCAATGACGTCCTCTCAAAAAAATCGGACATCATGCAGCGATGGAGCGAATTTTATAGAGAAATGTATGCGTGTGATGATCTTAGTGAGGGATCCGGGGGTGACGCCGTGACTGGTACGACAGACCCGGACCTCTATGACAGTGAGGTCATCAGTATGAAAGAGATTGAACCTGCGATTCGAAGTTTAAAATGTGATAAGGCTGCGGGACTAGACAGAGTTACTGCTGAAATGGTCAAGTATGGTGGGCCTCGCGTCTGGGACAGCTTTCATCTGCTGTGCAATTTGTGCTGGCGGACGGGGGATGTCTCGGATGATTGGCGATTCGCGGTCATTGTGCCTTTATATAAAGGTAAAGGTTCACATTTTGACTGCGGGTGCTATCGGGCGATCAGCTTGACCAGTTTAGCAAGTAAAGTTTACTCGAAGGTTTTGACACGTAGGATGCAAGAGAAATCGGAAAGATTTCTATGGGAGGCACAATGCGGATTTAGACCTGGAAGAGGATGCACGGATCAAATGTTTTCTCTTCGCATAATTACGGAAAAGCTTCTGGCTGCTAACCAGAAGATTTTGTGTGCTTTTGTGGATCTTGAGAAAGCATTTGATAAGGTTGTAAGAAAGAAAATGTGGGAACTGTTGCCGGGGTATGGTGTGGATGGTCGATTGCTAAGGGCTGTGCAGTCTCTTTACTGTGACTGTAAAACCTGTGTGCGGGTAGGGCATGACCTGTCACCCATGTTTAGCGTCCAAACGGGCGTAAAACAGGGTTGTGTCATGTCTTCCTGGCTGTTCATACTGTATCTCGACAGCTGTTTACAGAAGCTGAAAGATACCTGTTTGGGTGTGAAATTGGGTGACATTAAAGTAAATTGTCTGCTATATGCTGATGATGCAGTGCTTATTGCACCATCAGAGGCAGAACTGCAGACATTAGTCACGTGTATGAAAGAGGAATGTGAAATTAAAGGTCTCCGTTTAATGCTAATAAAACTAAGGTTCTGGTATTTGAAAGGGACGAAGAGAGAACGAAGTGTGAAATATGGGTAAATCAGAAATGTCTAGAACAGGTAAATGAAATTGTATACTTGGGGAGTGCTTTCAGCCGGGATGGAAGATGTGATTTAGATGTGGACAGGCGTGTCGCTGCCGGGAACAAAGTCAATGGTGCCCTGACTGCGTTAGTCAAAAGGCAAGGCGTAGCGAAGAGTGCACGCCTTGCAATACATAACGCAGTGTTGGTACCGACTTTGTTATATGGCAGCGAAACCTGGGTATGCCAGAAGAAGCATAAAAGCAAGCTGAATGCAGTGGAGATGCGATCTCTTCGTAAAATGTGCGGCGTTACCATGGCCGACCGAAAGTGAAACGAAGAGATTCGCAATATGGCAGGTTTGAAAGATGACCTTATCACAAAAATTGATAAGGGCGTGCTTCGATGGTTTGGGCACGTTGAGCGAATGAGTGAAGACCGAATGGTGAAGAAAATATATAGCGCGAAAGTCAATATTAAAAGGTATCGAGGTAGACCGAGACTAACTTTCGAAGACCATGTGAGCAAATTGCTCGAAGAGGGGAGGGTCAAGAGTACTCGGATACCTAGACGTGCATGTATGAAGAAGATAATGAATCTGAAAGAAGCGAAAGAGGTATGTAAGGATCGTGACACTTGGCGATCTGTTCTCTCTGGCTACCCCGTCAGGGATTGTGCGTGAAGATAAGTAAGTAAGTAAGTCATACAACAGTTAGACGAGTAAATTATTATATTGACCATATAACAGTTAGACGAGTAAATTATTATATTGGCCGTACAACAGTTAGACGAGTAAATTATTATATTGGCCATACAACAGTTAGACGAGTAAATTATTATATTGGCCGTACAACAGTTAGACGAGTAAATTATTATATTGGCCATACAACAGTTAGACGAGTAAATTATTATATTGGCCATACAACAGATAGACGAGTAAATTATTATATTGGCCATACAACAGTTAGACGAGTAAATTATTATATTGGCCATACAACAGTTCGACGAGTAAATTATTATATTGGCCGTACCACAGTTAGACGAGTAAATTATTATATTGGCCATACAACAGTTCAACGAGTAAATTATTATATTGGCCATACAACAGTTAGACGAGTAAATTATTATATTGGCCGTACAACAGTTAGACGAGTAAATTATTATATTGGCCATACAACAGTTAGACGAGTAAATTATTATATTGGCCATACAACAGATAGACGAGTAAATTATTATATTGGCCATACAACAGTTAGACGAGTAAATTATTATATTGGCCATACAACAGTTCGACGAGTAAATTAGTATATTGGCCGTACAACAATTAGACGAGTAAATTATTATAAAAATCTAAGCTTCGTATGAAACTAAAAATAGCCCGTTAGTGTAAACTTAAGCCGAAAGGTTAGGTTAGGTTAATTTAAGCCGAATTGTGAAAAACTGCATCTAACGTCAAGCCGGCATCTGGAGAATTTAAATGTGTCCCATTTTCTTTTACAACCTTTTTTCGTAACAAGCGACCTAGATACCAATAGGATGGACGAGACTTGTATGCACTGGATGAAAACCAAATAAAAAATCATAAATTTACCTTAGACATAAAACTTCTACCGTATTATTACAAAAAGCAGTTTATAATAATTAATCTCCGGTTTAAAGCTTGTGGAATCGAGTAGCACCAGCGATTTTTCCGGACCGATACGACTAAGGGACCTTCAAGAGAAGAGGCTATACTTAGACTATACTTTTCTAAAGGCCGGCAACGTACCTGCAATTCCCTTGGTGTTACAATTGTTTATGAGCAGCGGTAATCACTCACCATCAGGTGAGCCACATGCTCGTTTGCCTCCTCTTCTATAAAAAACAGCTATACTATTGTTAAACACTAGCTGCCCGCGGTGCAATAAAATGGGGAAACAGGACGCCGCCTGTTGCGCTCTCTGTCGCACCTACGGACCTTACGACAGGTTCTTGTTTCCCCATTACCGCACCGCGGGCAGCGAGTCTTTAACATTAGTATAGAGTCTGTTTCAATAAACAAGTCATAAAAAAGTGTAATAAATAAATATGCAAACCAAACTGTAAATTATGGGATTTGATAGCAAATGTCAAATTTCAAAAAGACCGTGGCTAAAGAACTTCATCCATGAAACTCTTTTTTATTGGAATAAGGGTGACAAACGACCACACCGTCCACCTGATGGATGATGAAATGGATGCTGTGACTCATAGACATCTCCATCTATCCCCGATAAATAATCAAAATGCATACGCATTGTTATCCTTTAGGACTAAGATGGAACGCCTCTTTTCCAGTAAAAATGGGCTCCAGTTCTCTACACTCACCATACGAAACACAGCAGCGTTAAGCTACTATTTTACGCTGGTATTCTGTGAGAGCGTGGTCCTTCCCCGGTCGAGCCGACTCATTCGTGCTACAACTATACTACTAATATAGCTGCAGCACGGCTCTACCACGTATAAAAATCCTTATTCTATAAGTAACAAATAATATGCCTATTGTGCCACCTTAATCGGTCAAGTTGTTTAGAAGTGACACCATAGATGTACTAACGATTAGGTCTACTATATATGAAGACTAGCGACCCGCTCCGGCTTCGCCTAGAAAGATCTATCAATGTGACGTTAGATTTAAGATAATCATCAAAGACCATTTATTTATTTATTTTTCCATCGCTCAAAAAAATCTCCAAAATTTCCAAATAAAATATAGCTCAGATCACTCCTGGCATTACTCTATATCTGTTCGTAAAGTTTCAACACAATCGATTTAGCCATTCCGAAGATTAGCTCGGACAGACAAAAATATGAATATTTAAAATTAAAAATTTCGTACAGCCGACTTCAATATAAATTATTAAGAATAACTCAAAAACTATTGGTCTGACCATGATCAAATTGGGACCAGACGACAAGTACCAGCTTTCAAATAAAAAAAGAATCATCGAAATCGGTTCACCCAGTAAAAAGTTATGAGGTAACAGACATAAAAAAAAACATACAGTCGAATTGAGTACCGTCTCCTCTTTGAAGTCTGCAGAAAAGGTTAATCATGTCCTAATATCATGCAAATAACCCCCCTAAGCTCAATAAATGGCAGTTATTTCGATATTACAGACAGACACTTTAATTTTAACTATATTTATAGATAAAGATTATTGAATAAACTTACTGTTCCTGGCCTGCTTCGAAGGTAGTAAAGTAGCGAGCTTCGCGGCATCGGCTCGTTGGAGATTCTCGAATAGTTCTTGTTCTCCTCCAGGATACAGCTCCTGGGGACAAAATTGAATTGAGTCTGGGTGGGCCGTTTTATACTGTAAGTATATATTATACTGTATAGTCATTCTCTTTCACGATGAAGTTTTGACTTCTGTTGTTGTAGCCGTGCACATACACATTGTGTTAGTGTGCGTACGCCTCGGGAGCGCTACTCTCGAGCGCCCGCAGCATGAAGCAAATACAAAGAGGAGACGGCATAAGCAACTGTGCACTGTGATTCTAAGTAGGTCCTGACGTCATCATAGTGGGCGTGGCTTTAGTTAGTATACTGTCAGCATTCGTCTTGTGCGCTATTTAAGTGTTGAAAATCGCAAATCGGTGTATTTTCGTAGTATTAAGATGAAAAGGATGAAGTGTTGTGTTTTATCGTGTAAAAACTACTCAGATAGACGCTCTGATGCTATGGATGACATCACATTTCATTTGTAAGTAATTTTACACCTAATTCATTAAACTAGTTCTAGAAAAATCTCTTTGCGTCGGCTTTCAAATATAATTAAATATATTCGACACTAGATGGCGACCCTTTGTGTCATATGAACTAAAAATATAAAGGTACGTAGAGCTCAGCATTGGTAAAATAATCATACGAAGGTGCTAAAATTTGTTTTGCATTCAGCCATAAATAAATTTGAATCGCCAAAATATTATTTTCATAGTTTATATACATTTTGTGAACAGGCCGCCATATATCGTCAAGGTAGCTAAACTACATTGCAACATCGATATGGAAAGATTCGCGTAGTTTTATTATTTATCGATAGATGTAGATAGTGTAAAGTGAGCGGAGCTTAACATCCCCTCACCCCGCAAATTGTCACGCATTGTTACATAGTGAAATCTAATTACAACACCTCCTCTTTGTATTTGCTTCATGGCCCGCAGCCTACGCACACTAACACAATGTGTATGTGCACGGCTAACAACAACCAAAGTCAAAACTTCATCGTGAAATAGAATAACTATTCTGATGTACTCAACTCACAAAGGTCGTAGTGTGGGTATGACAAGAAATAAATGACCAGTGTGTTTGGTATACCGCGTAAGGGCGGTGTAAGAATATCCAATGCCCGGCTTTATCCTGTGGGTCGTTAGAGGCGACAGAGGGAAACAAATCTAGATATGGGCAGCAGCGTCTTCCTAATAACAACTAAAATAAAAAACTGAGGTTGCCACTCCGCTTGTTAAGTATGGCAATGATGGCAATTATCCACCCTAGTGGGGAAATCTATGAGGGAGACATAAGTTCAGCAGTGGCTATAACAGTGGTTGGTGATTTATTTATATGAAAGTATGATCTAGAGTATTAACGAATTAAATTCCCGCTGCACCTTGTCAGATCTACGAGGGCGACACTGAAAGTTTTTAGAACTGGCCACTTGTAAACGATATATTAAAAAAATAAGATCAAATTTTGAAAATGGAATTCTTTGCCAATATTATTGTGTATGTATTTTATTAATTTGTCATTTGTTTACGATTTGGCGGCAAATTGAAAATTGTGTGTGTCTCGTCAGCATGAATTTAACGCGAGAAAATTTTCGTACAATGATTTTTTATGACTTTAGATGTCATTAAAGTCAACAAGAAAGTTATGATATACTTCGATTGGCCTTACACTATGAAGCCCCGTTCCGTGGCACTGATTACAACTGGTTTAATGAGTTTAAACGTGGTCGCACTAATCTCACGAACGATCTGCGTGAGGGACGGCCTTCTACTGCGACAACTGAAGATAACATCAGTGCTGTGCGGCGTATGATAGAGACTGACTGACTGTTCGGGAGAAACGACCTCGCAGTAGGATCTTCCTTCACCACGACAACGCCTTGTCGCACACCGAATTACTGGGTCACCCGCCCTATAGCCCCGACCTCGCGCCTTGCGATTTTTAGTTATTTCCGAAAATAAAAGGAAAAACTTCGAGGAAAACGTTTTATGAACACCGAGGAAGCAGTAACTGCGTTTCAAAATGCCGTCAAAGAGACTCCTAAGGACGAGTGGGCAAAGTACTTTTCTCAGTGGTTCCTTCGGATACAGCGATGTATTGATGTAAATGGACACTATTTTGAAAAGATATAATAAAACTAATAACTTGCTAGTTTGTTCAGTGTTTGATATTCTAAGAACTTTCAGTGTCACCCTCGTACTCTTCCATCTTCTCCCCTTTGTCCCTAATTGTATAAAATATTATATTGTAATATAAAGTTTAAAAAAAAGTTCCACAAGGTTTCAGGGTACTACATATTGAAAGTCGTTTATGTTTTTACCACTGGTTCGAAATTAATCTTTATTTTGGATAAACCATGAAGCAAGATAGCGATCCCAAAGAGTAATTGTGTATCAATCGTCCATTCTTCACCATTTTTAAAGAACTTAAAAAAAATGTTTGATAGATAGATCCTACATATTTTTTGGATCTTTGGGTTGGTATTTTTTATACATTATAATATATAAATATTTATTTTATACATTGCTCCATAAACGAATTATGCTATATTGAGGATATGGAAGAGAATGAATGGGGTGATGATCTCTTTTACTGCTCATTGCCTGCACATAATTCAGCATACCTGATAGAATTCACCACCGGCTTCTTCCCAGCCTTCCTGGCGTTTGGAGGAGCGCGCCTTGTTCTTCGACGAGTTGCCGCCCGACATCCTTCACGTGTATATTCTCATCTGGAGTGAATAGATAAATGGTCAAGTTTAATGTTCGTTCTATATATTTTTTAAATTAGAGTGTAAAATTAAATAACTGTTCATTTATTTTGTAACAGTTTGTGCATATCTCTAAAGGTGTATATATAGCTATATTTACGAGGCACTGAAATAATTTAATTTATAAAAGTAGTTATGAAATAAATTTTAAAACACAACCAGGCAGATCGTGCGCGTATCTGTGGTTATGGCAGAATCATCAGCGCTGTGGGTTACTCTGCAGCATTACGCGCAGCATAACCTTTTCACTGGCTCGATAAGACTACAAGTGATGGGGGTGTGCCCCATCACTTGTAGTCTTAAATTTGATTTATTTATGTATACACAACAAGATAGAGAAACACACAGTCTATAGTGAGTTCGTACAAAGGTTCTGCTTATTCCATAATTTGCCGAAATATCTTCCAGTAGACCCACAAAGCAAAATATATTAAAAAGGCAAACTTAGTGCGTACAATACTAATACTACTGTAAATAATATACAAAATGTTACGTAAATTATATTAAACTAGCTGTGCCCCGCGGTTTCACCCGCATCATCACGTGTCGGAGGTGCGTGACATGACCTAGTTCAAGCATTTTATAATTGCAATTAAATATTTTATTTGATAGCAATGTATGGAAAAATTGGCATAATTAACTAATTTTATCTGTCGGCATATTATGTATGATGTAAATTTTATACACTTTCCTTCCCCCACCCAATTTTTAATTTTTTTTAATTTATTTTAGCTATAATGATTGAACTAACCTCGCTCATAGAAGCTTTCAATACTGGCTTCTCGCAGTTCTCACCGAGCGGCTAGGGTTTATGCGTCGTTCGCGCGCCCAGCCAAGTATTGAATTATTTTAATTTTACATTATCTCTTAAACTATGCGTCCAAATAACATGGTATAAAGAACAAAGTTTATCTTCATACAATTTTCTTGATGATGAAGTAACTTTCGTTCGTAAGGATAAATAGGCCATGCAGAATAATAACGCTCATAAATCACTTTTAGTTTTCAATATTTTTTGTCACAAAATTACCTAATTATGGCTTATGTATAAGAAATAGACATATGTTATCGCGAACTTTTTTTTAGACGGAGTAAAGATCTATATTTTTCTAGAACATTGTATTTACGTATCCCTAACGACAACACCAGCGTACGCGGATAAATCATTTCGGGAGTGCTTTTTCTTCTGACTTGCTTTACAAATATCCACATTTAGGGCTAGCTGAGTGATATAGCTTAATGCTAGATAGTCTATACTATTCCACATGAATCTGGCTGTAATATACAAAAGGAATTTTTCAAATCAGACTGGTAGTTCCAGAGATTAGCGCGTTTAAACAAACAAAAAACCAAAAAACTCTTCCGCTTTATTATATTAAAATAATATAAGTATAGATGATACTATAAATAAAAATAAATATATAAACTAATACTATACAGGGTTATTTTGCAATAACCGGCCAAATTTGCACAGAAGGTTCAGTATAAGAAATAGAGGCAAATGATGAAGAAAAATTAAGTAAAAAAAATTTCAAACTTTCTGTCATTGTTATCTCTTAAAGAACAATGGCAGACTTTCATACATAAAATTAGTTGTGAATGAATGGTAGCGTCTATATGTCAAAAATATCTTAAAATGTTAAGGGTCACTCCCTTAATAACTCTGTCAAAGAATTTTGTCCTGAGAAGGCGTAAAAAAAAGATATTTAGATTTAAACCTTTTTAGGTTGTTTTATGTCACTTGGAAAAAGTCATGCGTCCTGTGGTTGTTTGATGTAGCTTAATACATTCTCAACATAACGTGCCCTACCTACATAATTGAGAGTTTGTAGATTATTGTATTTCTATTATATATTTGCATACTATAAATGTATATTTCTGGCATGGCTCCAGGGCCTTTGTGTCATACAGTGATATTCTCAGAAGGGCTAGAACCTAAAGCCGTAAAGCCAGAAACAAAAAACATTGACATTTTATTTTAGCTTATAGCTAGTGTTGCCGTAACATTAAATGGAATTGTTACACATTACTATGATTGAGATGTATTATTGTAGGAAGTTCTTTGTAAGAGACTTCTTTTCAACCATATCACTTTTTTTATTATTATTACTGATGGTATAGTTATTACTAATAATAACTTAATATAAAAATATTTTGTGTTTGTGTGCTGTGTTGGTAGTCTTACAAAGTGTATACGAAAATAGTATGAATATTACTATAATGACAACACTTGAATAGAGTAAAATGATTTAAGTCATTTGATATTCTCAGAAATGTTTTTTTTTCTGTGGCTTTAATTAAAATACATTTTCATTTGAAAAATTATAGAAAAATAATAAAACTCATTTTATATATAACTTATTTCTAGACGCAATAATTTTTGTCAATTATTTTTCTGTCATTGCTCTTTAAAATACGTGGTAATGGATTATTTTAACTGACTTTCATTCATAAATATCTAACTATTTTATGCACGCACACATTCGTAAGGGTAACTTGTAGCTTGTAGCGTATCTCCCCTGCTCTTTTTTTTATTTACCGTTACATCGCTAAGTACCTGCGTCCGCCCGCCCAGCCAAGTCAACAACTGTCAGTGTTGACCGTGACCTCATCACATTTGTTACCAATGACGTAACAAAAATATTCGAAGCGCGGGTACTATGAAATGATGCAACATTACAGTAGTGACCGGTGGAAGGAAAAGGGGAGATCTCCCGCCGGGCAAGGTGTTCTTTCCGGAGAGCGGCCAACGCTCCGAGTGGTAGCTCGGAGCTATTCTATATAATACTGCTTTTACTTCGGAACTTTGATAGCGCGATTTAGGCTTCGATGTGTTTCGCGATGTGTTTGTTGACAATACTCGGCACTATTCGCACTGCCCCTTTGTTTTTTTTTACATAGGGAAATACGCATACCCGCCTCGCGGGGTCAAGTACGGGTTATGTCGGACTCGCACCGACTAAAACCCCATGCCCTGGCGGCCTCTCCTCGGGAGAGGACTACTCCTCCCTCATCTCCTTCTCAGGTAAGGCGCACCAGAACACATGCTGCGCCCTCTTCCACTGCCTCCAACTTCACATGCGCAACGGACACTCCATTTCCGATGCGCAAAGGTCACGGGGCCTGACCCCAGCGGCGGATCTGACCTCTAAGATTTTGACAGTACTGACAAAAGCTATAGGACCGCCGTCTGTACAGTGCACGCACTTGCTGCTTGGCGGCATAAATAGGTAGGAAGGTGCCTATCTAGTAGGACTCCTAGGCAAAAGTGGTACTACCATCTCATAAAACTACCTAACTAACATAAGAGTATGCACGCAGAGTTCCATTTTTTTTTAAATGGGGAAATGGCACGCAACACGCGTGGGTAAGGCCTGGTTATGTCGGACTCGTACCGACTAACACCCCATGGTGTTCCACTTTTCCGGCCACCCCATGGCAGCCCCTCCTTGAAAAAAACAACTTCTCCCCCTTCTCGTTTTTAGGTAAGGTACACCAGAACAAGGCGCGACATCCTTTGCGGCCTCCAATTTCACCTGCGCAATGATCTCTCCCCCCCCCCCTATAAGCAGTGGACATGGGGCCAGGAAAAACGAGCATTTGGAAACACCCAGCCTTCCTGACTCCAATTTTGCATAAGTTTTTTAAAATGAAACGCAAATTTAAATTTTACATATTTGAGCGCAGTAAACAAATACTTATTTTATGTGGACCTAGTAAGGTTTGTTACGCTACACATCTGCAAAAGCCTTTACTTAGACTAAGCTAAGCTTACAATCTGTCCCCTTTTCTTTGGACTGACCTAGTTTATAGCCGTGTGGATACGTGGATATATGGTATGTGGGATGTTATTAAAAACACGTACAATATTTAAGTGCAGAAACGTTTTAAAACAAAATGAAGATCCGTTACCGCTATTCGTTAATAATCTCGTTAAGCATTTTGAAAAGGCATTACTCTAAGGTAGGAGTAACCAAACTTTTAAGATAATGGAACTATCATTAAATCCCTTTGATATTATGGAACCTCACGTCAAATGTTTACATATCATAGACAGTGCAATTGAAATATTATATTTCTCGCTAACTACCTAAGTATCTATATAAAAGTAATGGGTTCTTCTCATCTCAACTATTTGTCATCTTTAATGTACCATGTTTAGCGAATAAATGATATTATTATTGTTAAGTGGCGAAGCTTGCGAAGTCACTTATTGATTTCACGATGTCTGTCCGTCTGTCCCACGATTATCTCGAGAACGGTTTTGAATTTTCAAATTCTGTTTTCAGCAATCGATTACTGATCACCCAGGCATCTGAACCTCCTATTTTGTAACTGATTGCTCAACGGCAACCGTTAGAAACCGCTACAAAGCTGATTGCTTCGCCACTTTGCTATGCTGTTAGCTTGCTAGGTTTATTTTCATAAGTAATCAAGTCAATAAATTTATGTACTTATTAAGGAATTATATTAAATTAAATTTATTAAAATACAATTGTCGTGTCAATCACTATTGTTTTATAACTAGGTAAATCAATTAAGTATATATAGAAAAAAATTAAATGTCAAAGGAGTATTTAATCTAAAGAACATCAAATAAATATAAATGATTAAAGCATGGCTATGTCAAGTTTAGGCAACGATATTCTATTCATTCAAGAAGTATTTTATATCATAAATACACTTTAATAACAGCCAGCTTTTGAGTTTGGTTTTAAATTTACCGATTTCCATCTCTTCTTTAACATTTACCGGTAGTTTATTAAATATCTTTATACTCATCGCGTAACAACCCTTTTGATAAAATGCAGTTTTCGGTATTCGGTCTAATACTAGTCTATCTGATTTTCTAGTGTTACGCAAATATACATCGGACGCTTTCTTGTACATATGTAAATTTCTTTTTACATGAACACCTGCTTCAAATATATACATTTATG